AGAAGACAAAACAAAAGAACAGTATCATGATACAATGAAGACTTACAAGGCACTTGTTGTAGAACACATGTAAGTCAAAAAGTAGTATCACAGTTTGAGGCTTCATTCGTTATTTCTCCTAGGGAAAAACGTTCAGATATTCACCTGACGAGTTCTAGATCTCAACAGTGTAGTAAAGTAATTTTCTACTCACCGTAATCTTCCTTTGCGTCCTCCACTGACACGACCTCTTCCCAAAAGCGAATGTCGTCCAACACTATTTGCCAGGTGGTGGTACTTTGCTCCCCGATGACTGGCGCTCCCAGTTTGAGAATCGTGCTGTTCATCTCAAGTCCCGTTGCATCCGGCTCCTGTTTGTACTCAACTTCGCCATTGAATGGCACGCCGTTGATTGTAACGCTCAAATTGCCCATCCACGTCATGTGTACGTGTGTCCAAAGCTTTTCGCGGATTCCGAATTTCATCTTCTGTGTGGTACCGTTTTTTGTTACCGTTAGGACATACACATCCCCCCAGCCTTGGTGGTACAACTGAAAGCCATCTGGACTATTACCCATCTCATCACCCGCCGAAATCAAGTGCGTACTTCCGTTTATTCCAGGTATATGGAATTCTTTCAACCACAGACTCATAGAGAACCCGTTGATGCAATGTGAGGGGTTGCCCAGGCACATGAAGTGATAAGGCCCACCTAACACATATCTATTCTTGTCTAACCAGAGACCATGGCCATTCAGAGATTGTTGAAGATGAAGATGGTGATGGTGAGTAAGCGATGCTTCGCTGTTGGCATCGAGAAGGTCATTTCCGGATCTATGATCTATTGAAAAGTAGTAACTCCGGATCCTTGCCCCCTTGCCTGGTGGACAAAATTGATACGAAATTGATAAAAATAAACCATATAGATGAAATCAAATAGATAAAATAGATATGAATGAATGTATAAATGAATGAATGAGTGAACGTTTGTCAACGTTTGATAGAGTTTAGTATAGTTAACATTGCATGATAGGGTTTAGTACTGTTAACTTTGTTTGAAAGAGTTAAGTATTATTAACATTGTTGCCATACGTATACATTTCACCCCGCTGGTCTATCCTAGGATATATCAATGAAGAGAGGAAAGTCGTGAAGTCGTTTGAAGTGCATTTCCAAAGGACCCAACATTTTGAATGCCAGGAATGGAACTCGTGGTCTCTTTATCTCGAACATGAATCCATGCATCGACACAAAACTAAGGAAATTCACCGTAAAGGTACTTCAGACGGTCCTCTTCAAACGTTGTGTCATCCATCCGAAACTCGTCAATCAGAAATTCCAGACGGTCGTCCCAGGCAACATCGTTTGGCAGGCTGTTAAACACCAAACTTTCGAAGCAGTTTTGGTCAGTTGTGGACCTATTGTTGCCCGGAACCGCTGTAACATACAAAACAAGAAATCAGAGATTTCAAACTTCCTGGAAGTCGATACAGTTTGTGTTAATAAATTACATGGAATGCATTGCCACTCATAAGATTTTATGATTAAAGTGCTCATGACACCAAAATAAGTCTGTAAAATACATACAAATATCGGAAGTGTACATACAATATAGTCACTTGAAGATTGTTCCAATCATGATGATTGCGAAATTGAGCTTGTACGGCCTTCTAAAAGTGAATTTTTGGAGACTTTCCAGCAAGCTTCCCAATCGCCCACTTCGGGCATCTCTATTTGCATCTCTGTGTTTTATTTTTGCATTTCTGTGCTTTTAAATATACAAAAAAAATTAAAAAATACAGATATGCAAAAATAAAATGTAGAGATGCAAATAATCGCCTGCCAGTACTGGCTTGTGCTAACTTTTCCAAGGCGGGGCATTAGAATTTCGAATGTAACAGGAGAACCGTGCATATTTATTGTAAGTGTGTCTGTTAGCCAGGGAATACTAGTTATGTCAATTACAATCAGCTAAAGTCATATTTTGGTGTCATGAGCACTTTAAACATACTATACGCTGTTACACCATGGTGGTTTATGTTTCATACATTGACCTGGCTACCGTACCCGAAGCTTAAACCCAGGGCATGCCCGGTCAGAACAATGTGTTTTAGTGTGTGTAAATATATAATTTACAAAAGGCAAATTCTACCATGTACTTACAAATGTGCTTGAAACCGTTGATGTACGTGTCCAGGTTGCCTGTTCTGCTCCAAGCAAACGCCAGGTGGACCCAGTACTGGTCTGACACGCCCAGCACCACACTCCATTCCTTCTGACTTATCCGGACCTTGAACTCAAGGTTGTTATCGTCCTTTGCCTTGAAAAAAGGTATTAGGAAGTAGGAGGCTGTATTACATGCATCATATAATTCAGTAAACTGATATCAATAATGTAAAAGTGTGATTTGCCAATGATGACAAATGCCTGGTAAGGCTGGTAATGGTTGCTGTAGTTGGTACACAGCGCCAGTATGAAATCCCACTTTTTTTTTCTTCAACATGTAATCACCAGACGTGGTGACTGCACACTCAAGTGTTATCAACTTATATTAATGCCGCCACCAGCACAGGGGACAAATACATGACAGGACAATACTCATTTTCACCTGAGCGAAGTGAGGAAAGTCGTGTAAAGTGCCTTTCCCAAGGGCACAAGATCGGTGGCATGTCAGGACTCGAACCCGGGAACTCTAGGTTCCGAGTCGCGCACTCTGCCGCTACGCCACACGACCCCACTTTTGGGGCCCCATATTTACAATGTATAATGTAACTCTGTGTGCTATTTTACATGTAGCATGTAACTATTTTCCGTGAGTAAGACCCTTTTACCACAAAGATAGGATTGTCTGATTCGAGCCGAATAGATTGTCTTTGATAAATGAAATAATTGCCACCAGTTTGCAACTGTACGACAATCACTCAACCGGGCCTTTAGGATTTAGTGTGTGGAAATCCTTATAAAATGTTCTTACCTCAAGGGACAGTCCACAAGTGTTGTTACTTGAAGACGTGGTGTAAACGTATCGTCCCTTCAGTGGATAGCTGAACTTTGCCCACAGCAGGATACTGATGGTCTCTGATGTGTCTGTTACATAACCTTTACTTTCAACACTGGCCTGGCATTCTGGAAAAAGGGATACACATTTTGACTTAACGTACACCAGTTGAAGACAGTTGCCCAGCAATATACATTCAATTGACTTAATTTTCTCTAATTTGTCACTGGTCACAGTACGTGTAATTGACATCAATTTTAGTCTACTCTGTTACACTGTCGGTTGCAAAGATAGGCAGAATAGATAAGCTTGCTGGCAACAAGATAATTCCTGTTAATAATTTAGCTATCAATCTAACATGTTAAACGTTAAAATTTCAAGTACCTTAGTTACCAAGTTATACTACTTCAAGGTGTAATAAAAGAGTTACCTTCAGAAAATTTCCAGTCACCCTTATTACTTGATATGCTGTACCCAGCATAGAGGATTTGCAGGGGTGAGGAAGGATCTGTCCACTGCATGAACGGTTCCGTTTCATCTCCCCGCCCGACCGCGATGCTCACATTGCCCTCATCCAGGTGCATCCAGGAGATCCAGAATCTTTTGTATACATGGCTGTATAAAATATCTTTAAAATAAAGAGAAAAAAATACCCGCAAAAACATTAGAAGAAATGCAGAATGGCAATAAACATTATATGCCCCTTTCAGCAAAACGACAAAGATGTAAAAGTATGGTTGAAAGGCAATAAAATCTACCAAAGCGAAGAAGAATTTTCTTTCGATATCGATGAATGATCTGTCGTCACCCAGCATATAATGAAAAGGCTGTTATCACGTGCCAAGCATTTGCAGTTGCAATTGCAGTTGAAATTCTCAACACAACAAGCACCTCGGCAGAATGTACTGCGCCTTCGGCATTTTTTTCGGTTTACTTTGTCAGCGTTGCATCAGAATTTTGCTTGTGCCGACACAATATTTGAAAACTATAGAAGGGATGTCATCAATACTCGAATACAACCTGAAACGAGACATTCTGACGAGGTACTTTTTTACGCACGGGCGCAGTACATTTTCCGCTGCCTCTGTTGACTTAGAAATTAGCATGCAAAAACTCAATGAATTCAAACCTTGACTGATTAAACAGAACAACAGTAAAAATACGAGACAGGTCTTACTTGGTGTCGGTACAGCTATCTTGCTGTCTTGGTTGCGGCGAATCTCAGAGGTGTCGTCGAGCACAACTTCGTACATATCTAACCTATACCCGTTCGTCCTGGATAAGGCGATGTGCACAGTACCGCCTGTCTTCACCTCAAACCGTAACGGAGATGATGTGATGGCGGGCAAGTCCCAACGGTACTGTAATTCAGCAGCCGTTGCCTTCTCCTGGTAACCTAATGTACATGTTTTTGAAAAAGACGTCATGAATTTTAGACTTCCGGGAAGTGTTTTGGGTCTTTGTGAATGCATTAAAATAGCATTCAATTTGTATGATCATAAGAAAATACGCATATCATAGAATTATGGATTATTACCCATACGATTGTATGACGTAACGTACTCTGGTATTACTCCATGTTATGTTTCATGCCATAATTACAAAGTTACAAAACGAAATCAGAGATTTCAGACTTCCCCAAAGTATTTTGGGTTTTTGTTTGTGACCTTCGAGTTCACAGATCTCAGGGAAAGTGAATGCATTAGAAAAGTGGAAGGGATTGTATGGTGTAATTTTTAATAACAGACACTTTAACTCCATTTCCCCCTATCGTTGGCCCCCTATCGATTAATTGTCAAATTTCACCTCCCACCCATTATGCAGCAGAAACCATTTGGCTAGACAAACCCACAAGTCAGCTACCCATAACAATACTTCCTGAAAACAATATACCAATCTCATACCAAGGACTTACCTCTAAGTTGAAGTGCGCTGTCCACCACCCCATCTACAAGTACTAAATCACACTCTCCGACAAGAAACGTCTCAGACGATGCGTGGACGCTTTTCTTATCACTTTCCTTCATATCCTCCATTGGAAGGTAAAGTCCAAAGCCTGAAAAGTTCATAAATAATCATTAATTTCATCACACTTTAGGTTATCAAGGAATTCTAGGGAAATACTAGTACATTCAGCTCAGATAAATAGCATCCAAATGTAGCGAAACAACTTTTACCATGTAGCAAAACGTTTGTCATGTATCAAATTGAACGGTTTTCGCCATGCAAAGGAACGACTGTGGCATATAGACAAATGACTAGGAAATACCGTAGACCCAACGTGCGAAGAAAACAGTCTACCAATATTGCCGTAAACAATGCGAGTCTTTTGGCGACATTATCATTACAAAATTGATCCCTAGCATGCCATATGGTGTATTACCTAGGTAAGAATCAATGGTCCTCAGCTGCTTAGGAGTTAGAGCGTATTCTTTGAACTGAAAGTCTGCGATCGCCAGGCTTGGTTGAATGGTGTCCTTATCTGTTGAAAAAAGGAAATGATGTGATTAACACACAAATGGTCAAGTTGTAACTGTAAAAGTGGATATTCAAAAAACACAAAACCAAGAATCTGTAGTTGTATTGTGACTGAATATATTGGATGTACAGTATGGTCTTCGAGTGAGTAATTTTACAGCTATCACAGTGTGTATTGGGTATACTGTATAAGGAACTCTACATGAAAAGTGATAATTTACCAATGCCGATAAATGCTTGTACGTCTGGTTATGGCTATGACAAACAAACAAACATTGGTGATTCAGGCAACCGTCATCAGACTTACCTGGCATTTTATCTGCCGTTTAGGCAATCGTTCCTAGACGTACCTGGGACATGATCACCCAATAACTAAAATGACACCTGGAGTTAGATAGACTGGGCTCACTCCACAAAGACTGGGATTTACCAATAGGGGTCAAGACAGGAAATTCATACTGACATCAATGATGACCCAAATTAATCATTATATACCAGACTTATTTGGCATTTATCATCAATTATTTGGTAAATCATACTTTTCATGCAGTGCCACCTCCAGGGGCTGGTGATCATATATGGTGTTGCAAGTTGACAGGTAGAGCCGGAGGGAGACAAAGTCCAGAACAAGGTTACGTACTTTCATACACCTCTACTTCACACAGCGTTAAGATCCGACTGCTGCCGGGCAGAAGCACCCCGACGTACCGGCCGGTAACACCCGCGCACTCAACCCTCACGATCAGGCCCGCGGCACTGTGGTCACCCCCGCAGGAGGGATTGGACGCGACCGTCAAGGAGTTGCCGACGTGCACTCGAAAAGGGCTGAGTCTCTCCGAACAGCAGTCTTCTCGGTTGAAGATGACGACGCTCTCAATACTGCGCGGGCTTCCCAGATCGACATACCACCACGGATCGTTTTCGTCGAGGGTGTGGGCACAGACGTTGACGTTGTACAGTGTCTCCCTGTTTCCGTCCACTGCATTCCCCGCTTCGCCTTTGGATGGATATTCGCCTTCGAACGTAGTAGATTGCCACGCAGGACGCCCTCTTGCGAGGTTTTCTAGAATAGAACGCCAAATCTACCGCTGTGATCAACGTTAGGACTGCCAGGTGCAGGTGCAGGCTGCAGGGACAGGTGCACGGCTTATTTAGCTTGGCCGGGGAAGGTGGTTGTGCTGAAAACCATCTACCATAGAGCTGACACATTCCATCGCAAAAGATGGGCACATGGGCAGCTCTTACTGTTGTGCTATTTTGTGAATAAAGCTATTTTAGCTACTTTAGCTATTCGATCTATCCACAACGTCTTGAGCTATGTTGTTCACACACACACACACACACACACACACACACACACAGAGAGAGAGAGAGAAAGAAAGAAATAGAGAGAGAGAGAGAGAGACGACAGAAAGAGATAGATCCTGAAACATAACCATGTCGGCAAAGGTGTTACTGCCAAATATGCACATTATTCTAAAAATACAACATAGTCAACTTCAATTACATGATTGTATATTATCTTCAAGAGCAAACTTCACTCACCTCTAGGTTTGCACTTATATCTTGCTGCTTCAACCTGTGCTTGAGTCATGGCGAAGTCGTACAGTTGCAGACAGGCTATCCGGCCAGCAAAATACCGAGTGTCTGCGACTTCCCGCATCGCTACCCGAATAGCCGCCTGAGTTTCCAGTTCCGAATACCCAGCATATGTTTCCCCGACGAATTCACCGTTGTACCAGAGGGATGCCATTCCCGTGACACTGTTGTAGGATCCACCCACGTAGTTCCAGGCATTTTGTACGAGTACGTCCGCGACGACAACAGGTGAAGTGTGATATGACATTCCTCTTTCTATGACCCTAAAATAGAGCAGTTACAGTTGAGATATTTCAAACTTCCAGCAAGTAGATATAGTTTGCATAAATGAATTATATCATACAGTACTTTGAATTTACTCCACTATTGCACCATGGTTTGTTTCATACATTCCCGGCGACCACATTCTTGATCTCAGGCCATACCGAGTCAAAATTCTGTCAATCAAGTGAGACCCAATATCTTCTCACTCACTTTGGAACCCAAACATACAAACCTAGCATGAATGAGCACCACCCAAAATAATAATTCCTTCCTGGATGAACACCGTTAACCCAAAGAATGAGATACACGCACTCTTTCTTCTTGTCAGCATGGCCAGTGAAGATTGTATAAAGCTTATCGGTATGGCTGAACACGGAGAACTTTGCTCTTACAATTTTTCAATTTCATACAGACGTCTTGGTAAATGCTAAGCTTCTCGTGTGTAAACCCACCGGTTGAATAGTTGTCCTGTCACAACCTGCCAAAAATGGACACCATGGTCGAAATAGGGGGCGTTGGTGTTGGTGCGGTAGTGGAAGATGGGCCCGCGTGGACCAGTCGGGTAGATGTGGGCCAGTATGGTGTAGGCGTAGCGCACGTCCAGCTTGCCGTTGTTGGGGATGTCGAGGTACGAACCCGCGGTCCCTGCAAACAGGAACGCCCCGTCCGCGTCTCCAAACGGACCAGAAGTCAACTGTGTTCCTGTTGCTATTGCGTCATTTCCGTTTCCCGTTTCATCCAATGCGCCAGACACCGCGTTTAATGGCCAAAGGCCTACTGGGTGAGTTTCTGGGGACAAATAAATGTGTTGGATTAATTATTATTGATAAGAAATGTGTTTTTGAGCTACATTTTGCATATGTTTCAACTAGTTGTCAATTATCTCCTTTGCACATTTACAATTTGGAACAAAGAATTGATTTAATCGTTATTATCATTACATTCTCTCGTAAATGCATTTTAGTTTGACTTATCAGAGGACTTTCACTCTGAAATAAATAAAAGGACTGCTCTAACTAAGTCTAAACTTTGGGACCAAGTGATAACGTGTACAATTCACATTAGTCCAGTGGTTGATGTGGGAAAATGAGACCAATTGTGCTGGGTGTTTCTAACACATACCTTGATCTACGTATATCTGGCATATGAATCCGTAAGTGCGACTGCATGATATATCATTCCACAAAGGCCCTGACAAAAATTGGGCACAGTTTTCTCCGCCGAGATTGTTCGGTTCATTGCTATTCCAGTTGGAATAGCCGGAAGACGCCAGGCTTTGGCCGTCCTCAAATATCCACTGGCCTTCGATGTTGATGTCCGTTATGCCAAGCCAGCGATGATCGTCTCCCAGATAGAAGAGGAAGTCGTTGACCGCACTGTCTTTCGGCATGGCTAACAACCCTCCGTCTTCCGCACACCTCTGCCGAGCTTCTACGTACGTCTTCTTCTCAGCAAAGTTCTTGTAGCAAATTCCGTTGAACGGATGGTAGCCTGGTATTGGACACGCTGTAAAAAACAAGAAATTAGATATTTCAAACTTCTGGGAAGTTGTTTAGAAATATAGTTCGCGTCATTAAACTACATCGTAGAATGGAATATTATTACTCATACGGTTGTATGATGAACTTACTGTGCTATTGCACCTAGGTTTATGCTTCACGCATCCCTGGTGACTCGATCCTTAAAAGAACGGCATACCAGGTCAAAACCTGTACCCTGTCAATCAAGAGAAACCCAATCCCCACCGACCCACTTTAGAGTCCAAACATACAAACCTAGCATGAATTATAGCCACCTAAAACAATACTTCTGTCCCGGAAATGAAAAGACCAACCTTTCTCAGAATCTCTCCCTATCATCAGTGTCGTTTCGTTGTCGTACGTCAGTTCATCGAAAGACGCGATATTCACGCCCACGTACTCGGAGTCTCCTACGATGAGTGTCGTTCCTTCATATGATCCTACAACCTGTGTGAAAAGACAGCACAACAAACTTATCATAAAATCCATAATACTAGTATACAAATCGATATCCTTCCTGTCCATCACAATCAGCAGTTCAACAATATCCTTCGAATATTTTTAATGTTTCTATATCGCATTGAGAATGGCTATTGATAAGATCATCAGAAAACTTTGCAGTATTGAGAGGATCATCCTGTATTTCTTCTCTAAGGAACAGCATCCTTCTCTACCGACCCTATTTTTGCAGTACTGAAATCGGAAACAAAATAGCCCTTACCCGTATCTCAGTCCACGTGTCGAGCTGGATGGCCGCCTGTGTCTCGAAAACGTCCCCCTCTCGGGTCGCCATAGTCACCGCCAACTCTTGGCTGCCAGGACGGTACACGAGCCGGACTCCTCTGCTAGTTTCGGGATAAGACTCTCCTATGTTGCTAAGGACCGTTCTATTGCTGACATCGTCATCACATTGCACCTTGAGCCAAAACACAAGGCTGAATCCGCGAGGACAGTAGACAGTACTGCCGACGCACGACATATACCTACAAAACAAGACAAAAAAATCATATGAAGAGTTACATTACAGAACACACTGTGCGGTGAAACTTACATGTACTCCCCTATCAGACGCCATGTTTATGTTTCATACATTCATCATTTCATATCTTTGAACCCACCGGATATCGTGCCAAACCCTTGTCCATCGTCCATCAAGTGAAACCCAATCTCCATCCACTCAATTTGGAACCGAAACATAAATAAGCGCCACTCAAAACAATACTTCCATCCCGGAAGTAACAAGCAAGCTATACATCTCTATCAGCAATGCAATGCAGTACAGAACACTATGTCATATATCATGTCCCATAGCAGTATAGACATCAAGATAAACAATATGGTACACAAAATTATATCAAATGTATACATGTTTATAATGACCTGGAGTTAAGAAAACCACCAAATACCAATATCAAATTCTTCTTTCCCAGGGTTATGTCCTTACTTGTTTCCACAATCCAAATATCCGGTATTCCCCAACGTCTTTCCGGAACCGGTCGGGCTGTCATTGGTGGTCGTGACTTCACCAACAGCTCGACAAGCCAGATCACCGTACATGCCAAGTGCATCTGGCCGCTTGATCGTTAACTTGTGTTTAATTCCAGTATCTGGGGAAATATTGAAAGGATTTAGATTCAGAGTGATGTGAACAAAAGGTAAAACTAGAAAGGCCAATATTTGCTTTGGAGCAAATATAGCGATGGGTTCACCACATTTTACGACATGGCAGGGAAAGAATGAGAAACACAAGGGAAAACAATGATTTACATTGATATAACTATAATATGAAGTAACATACAACTAAAACAACAGTTGGATAGCTATTCCCTACTTTATTGGTTAGGATTTTTAATTGCATAATGCAAACTGTTGATTTTCAAAAAAAAAAAAAACGTTCATGCCCCGCATTCCAATGCTGGAGCAGAAAAGCTTGAAATACCTACCAAAACACTTGAATAAAGACATACTGTCAGTATGGAAATGCTCTGTGCAGGTGTTAATCAAGTTAAATCCCAACAGCCAATCAGCAAGAAATGCTCTGTGCAGGTGGAAATGCTCTGTGCAGGTGTTAATCAAGTTAAATCCCAACGTTGTCGTAACAAAGACACAAACCTACATCTCAGCCACCCAAAACAATGCTTCTGTCCCAAAACAATGCTTCTGTCCCAAAACAATGCTTCTGTCCCAGAAGTAACAATCTTGAGAATCGTTTAGATACCATTAATTTCGTGGCACTATAGGCTAGCAGCAATGAAATCGTATATCAACCAGTGGCAGAGTTAAAATGGTTATCAAATACCTTTGAATAGCACACTGACTATAGCATGACTATGTTTACAAAAGCTTGAGTGGGAAAGCTTTGGCATGTATATGTTCATGGTCTACATCTGATACCCAGTTTACCGCGCGGCTGCAGTCGTCGTAGGCCGTCGTTCGATTTTGAAGTCGCAGAATCATCAACCATGCTGCAGACTGTGACACAGCCGACTGCCTACAAGGATCTAAGCCAACCTTTTACCGTAACATTTAGCTGATTTTTACGACAAATTCACAACTATGCCAAGAATGCTTGCGGTCGCACGACAATCGTACGACATGTCGTAACCTAAAGCTAGTCGACTCACCGAGCAGCGTTATGGAAGGGCTCCATCTCTCGTAAAACACAACTTGGTCGAATGTAACAGTACTCGTGATTGGCTCTCCTACAGTTGGACCTATAAACAGCCACGTGTTTGTTCCTTCATCAACATCCGGTAACGGCGCACTTGTGACGTCAGAGACTTCAACTCCGTTGACACCCCTAGAGAAGATGAAAAAATCACATTTGTGTGCAATTTGAAACGCTTTTTGTGAACCCTTTGTTGAAACTGAATACTAGTATATCTTTCCACTTGAATCAACTAATGTTTAGCTCTCATAAGTTATAATTATGAACCAACACTCACAGATCGAGAGTCACCAGAGTTCAAAGCTCTACTGATTTTACCAACTTACAAGAATGACTTCGGTACCCATATTGGCATCTTAGATGATTTTCCTTTTTCCATCGTGAAATCAGAGATTTCAAGCTTCCGAGAAGTAGAATAATATAGCTTGGGTTAATGAATTATTGATTATTATGGAATGCATTATACTCATAAATTGTATGAAGAAACACTTCACCATTCTTTATGTTTCCTGATACCAGGCGACCCCTGTCAATTAAGTATAAACCTCCACCCTTGACTATTTTTGGATCCAAACATACAAACCTGGCATAAATTTACACCACCCAAAACAATACTTCCTAACTTGAAAGTGACTAGTTTTCAAACTTACATCACTGCCTTTCCGTCATGAGTACGCCCAAAGAAGATGTGAGACCACCAGTCATCAGGTAGAGGTACGAAAGCCTGATACACTGCATGGTCGACAATCATCTGAAGTTGAAAAGTACTCCTGGTGCTACTTGGAGTGGTGAAGAGAAAGCCTGGGTGTGTCATACTACTACCTGTAACAAGAAATCGGAGATGTCAGACTTCTATGAAGTATTTCTTTTTATTTTCCTGATCTTCCAGTTCACAGACCTCCAGGCAGTGTATGGGGTTTTCGTGAATGTGTTAGAACTAAGGAGGGGATTATATGATGTAATCTAATCTCTGGTATTGCACCATTTCCTGAATTCCTCCACAAACTACCCAACCAAAATGAGTTTTGTATCAATCAACTGTCAAAATCACCTCCCACCCTGTGTCCAACCGTTGCTACTTGCACACAGAAACCCGCAACTCGAAACCGGTGCACACATGACATAATACGTCGTTGGTGGTTTTGCTCGATAAAACATCATAAGTGTGTAACACCACCTCACCAATCAACTATAACTGTGTCATTAAAATGTGTCATTTCTAAATTACATACTAGTACGTACAAGGCACTTTTATATGAACATGCTCCGTATCTCACTGACCAAGTTTGATGCCGAGGAGGTCAATGCCGTCGCCTGGTATAGCTGAAAATGAAGACGTCTTCCCGGGATTGAACCAGAAATATGTCGAATATCCGGTGGTACAGTATGTTTCACTCGCTACACACTCGCTCATGGAGGTTCCTCGTTCTGTTTCCAACATCCCTTCACCGATGCGGAAACTCGCAGCATTGTCTTCCCAACCCTAAAAATGTTTGTAAAGTTTAGACATCCAAGGCAGTAAGATACGCAAAAAAACTTAGATCATGCAACGTGATATGGAAACAGTCAATATATAGCAGCTCAGAATCGTTCAACATAGTCATTCAATGGTCTTTTGTGTCGAAAGCAAAATAACAGTCAAACGTAGTCGTACAAACAACTAAGGAAGAGTTACCTTCACAAGGTTGACTTGACCATGCACGGTTAAAGGTGCATGTAGATGACTCCCGTATATGCTACTGGATACTTTTTTATGCATTTTAAAATGGTAGTACATCTCTGCAAGGAACGATCACAACATAAATAAAAAATGATAATAATAACAACAATAATAATAAACAATACAAATAAACAAGTCTTGCTTGGATTTTTGGAAGCACATTCCCAATTCTGCAACTAAAACAAGAAATTCCCATGCAATATGCATACAAGCACATGCAATTTGTATACACAAACAACATGCAGACTGCATACAGGTAAATACAATGTGCGCACATCTACATTTTTGTACATGCTGAATGCATGCTGCATACAGGTTGGTGCGATTTGCATACACCAGATTCTGCATACAGCTATTTGTAATCCGCATAGTATATTATGGTAGAATGCTGTAAAAATCAGTTCCTACTTGTTTGTGTCAAGATGGTCAAGGGCTCCCCCTCCTGGTTACCGGACAGAACTCGCAAGGTGATATTATAATCTGTATTTGGGTTCAGCACTTCAAATAAGACCTGTGGAGGATATATTAGATAATACAGAAAGTTTACTGCAAATACACTTGCCCGAGGGGTAATTGCAGTTACAAACAACATAAGAAAGAAAATACAGTGGTATGTGAGACTATATCTACGTCTAGCATTTATACTATATTCTGCAACATACATGGTACTAGTTTTACTGATGATTGGACATTGACTTGGCATCTGCTTACGCCCGCATATGCTACCTAACACTGCATCAAGAATATTGGACTTTTGCTCACATGCTTACCTTTTGACTAGCGAGAATTAGTTCTCAGAAGCCCTGAGGAAGATGTCTGATAGGCATGCAAAGTACTAGTAAGCACTGATGAAGAAGGACATTACTTGTTCCGTACAGAAACCGCTTTAATTGTGTTAATGAAATAACTAGTAAATACGGCGACATTAGTGAATGTTACTTGTACAGATTATAATAACTTGGTTGGTTTTGCCGTAGTTGAATTTGAATTTTTGATTTCAGTTCAATTCATGTTCAAGTTGCTGTAATGCCGATTTACTCTGTGTTTTACCAGTAAACCCGATTATTTTATCAACACTGCTAATTGTAATATAGAAAGGAAATAAATTTTTACCGTTCTATCATCCGACGGGGTAAGAGAGACTTCCGGGTCGGTTCCATGTGCTGGGCTGATGCTGACTATGTACTGGGAAAATAGTCCACTAGAGGGGGGATCCCACACTACGACAATGCCGAACTCTCCTAGAAATGATACTCGGAAATTCTGTGGACTCTCCGGCTCTAAAATAAAGACGGGTAAGAAATTCTGTAGTAAAATCTATACAGAGGTACAACACAGCCTTGGGAGCTAAGGCCACACCAAGTAAATTTTATGGATGACGTCCGCGCGCGCATTGATTTTGGCC